TACATGCACATTTTTGTGTGACCATCACCACCACCCATCCCCATAACTCTTTCATTTGTAAAACTGAAACTCTATACCCATTAAACAAAAACTTCCCACTCTCCTTTCTACCCAAATTTTCTGTCTTCATGATTTTGACTGCTCTAAGTACCTCATGTAAGTGGAATCATAGAGTCACAGAATTATGTCTTTATACACGTGTGCCCCAAAATGTAAATTAATAATTCTTTTAAATGCATTGGTCTCTTAAATTATATAGAAAACAAGATTTGGAGTTACAAACCAAAATTACAGTAATACTAACTTTTACATTAACGTCTTTTTCTTTAAATGCATTAATCTTTTAAATCATGGGGAAAACAAAGTGTAGTAACAAACCATTGGTACAATAATACCAGCTTATATAATTACCCATGTATTTATCTTTATTGAGATATTTATTTCTCTGAAAGCTCGAAGTTACTGTCTAGTGTCCTTTCATTTCACCTTGCAGGAGTCCTTTGAGTATTTCTTGCAGGGCAGGTCTAGAGGTCACAGACTCCCTCAATTTTTGTTTATCTGGGAATGTCTTAATTTCTTCCTCACCCTTGAAGGACAGTTTTGCCAGACAGGATTCTGGGTTGACATTTTTTTTTCTTTTAGCACTTTGAATATATCAGCCTACTGTCTACTGGCCTCTGAAGTTTCTGATGAGAAATTGAAATCTGCTGATAATCTTAGATTCATCTGAGGATCCCTTGTATGTGATGATTTGCTTCTCTCTTGATGCTCTCAAGATTGTCTTTATCTTTTGATACTTTGATTATAATGAGTCTCTTTGAGTTGATCTTGCTTGGAGTTTGTTGAGCTTCTTGGATATTTATGTTTTCCATCAAATTTGGGGATTTTTCAGCCATTATTTCTTCAAACACCCTCTCTGTCCCTTTCTTTCTCCCACTTCTAAGACTCCTATGTTCTGCTTGAGGGTTTTTTCTGACTCTTTAGGCTCTGTTCACAGTTTTAAATCTTGCTTCTTTCTGTTCCTCAAACTCAATAATTTCCATTGTCCTATCTAATAATGTGGTAACTCTGTAAATCAGTTTCTCCCCTTTCCCCAGGGTTTTGCTGTTTTCTGCTATTATTCTTTTTCAGTTGTTGTAGGCTATCCCTAAGGATCAGCCTGCCTTGTAAACTTAATCTGATCCTTCCTCAGGGAATGTATGGTCAGTTTCAAATTTTCCCTGTATCTACAGTAACTTTTGAATGTCTTAATCTTTAATATCTGGCTCCCAAAGGGTAAAAAAGTGAAAACTAAAGGGAGGGGAGAGGGTGCCAGGTCTTTAAATCCACTGGCAGTCACTTCGGCCAGAGGGGGAGGGTTTAGCATCAAGGGGGTTATAGGTGCAACAAGAATGGTTACCTGCTCCTTTTTCTGCACCTCTGTGATCAGAAGCAGCCATCAGGGAGCAGAGCACAGATCCCAGCCATCTGGAGGACAGGGTCCTTTTTGTCCATCCTGGCTCCCCAAAGCTGTGTGCAAGTTGCTCTAGGAGCATACGCAGAACTGCCTGCCATGTGGCCAGGGGTGAGGGATGGGAAGCTGCTACTGTAATGAGAGCTGAAATTGACTAAAAGTAGCCACAGTTTACCATACAAATATTCCCCTGGAAGTTGCAAGCCTTCAACAGACCCCAGAGTTCTAAAATAGTTACATCAGACAGATTCTGAGAGTGCAATTGTTGTCTAAGCGGAAACAGATTCCTGGTGCTTCCTAGTCCACTATCTTCCCAGAATCTTCTTCAATTTATATTGAAGGTTTACTAAGGAGATTGTCTCACAGGCTGCCCTGACACCAACCGAAGGGCAGTTGCATCAATCTAGAAATGACCCACATTGTACTCACATTTCACTGGCTAGAACCAGTCACATGGCCACTTCACCATAAAGCAGCTTGGGAGAAATAGAGGTGCACATAGTGAGTGGTAAAAACCCATATATTTGGCTTCTGTTCACCAATTATCCAGTTGTTCCACTTTTAGAAGGACAGACAATGAGCTAAGTCCCCCAGTGAGTCATGTCCTTATAAAATCCCTTTCCTTGGGTGTGGGTGAGATCTGTGACTCGCTTCTAACCAATAGAATATGGCAAAAGTGATAAAATGTTACTCTCTTGGTTAAGTTATGTTATATAAGACTTTCTTAGAAGACTGGAAAGATAGATTCTCCTACTGGCTTTGAAGAGACAAGATGCCATTAAGTTCTAGAACGATAAGGAGTTGAATTCAGCCAACACACTGAGAGAGTGGATTTTTTTTTCCCTAGTCAAGGCTTCAGATGTGAATACAGTAGGCAGACGCCTTGACTGAAATCTTGTGAGACCTGAGCAGAGGTCCCAACTGAGCTGTGCCCACATTTTCCACCCACAGAGACCATGAAATCATGTGTTATGCGTTAAGCTACTGAATTAGTGGTAATTGGTTACACAATAATAGAAAACTAATCTATTCCTGTATTTAAAAAAAAACCACTCATTTTCTCCCTAAGGAAAACAATTTGTCATTTTTTTCTAGTTCTAAATTCAAGATCCTTGGTTGATGTATAGTCCAGATGTGGTGCTTTATGGTATAGCAACAACTTACGACCTAATAGGACAAGATATCTGCCTCCTGTGAAGTCCAATACATAATGATGCACACCTATAGTAAATACCACATTTGGAAAAGAAAAGAATGCAAAGATACACAGCAGTCTTTTGTAGAGTAATGCTGAAATCCTATGGGTAGGTATTGTGATGTAACCCAGGCCTGGCGGTTTGGCAAGGTGCATGATTAAATTCTGGTTTTACCCTCAGAGAGGATCTTCTTTGTCCATTGTTTCTCTCTACTCTCATCCTTTCCCCTTCCACCTCTGTGAGGTTCTTCCTTCCCCATTATCTTGCCTGGCCATGTATGAAATGAGGAATGTTGGGGTGCCCTGGTGGCCCAGTTGGTGAAGCTTCTGCCTTCAGCTCAGGTTGTGATCCCGGGGTCCTGGGATCGAGCCCCACATAGGGCTCCCTGCTCAGCAGGGAGTCTGCTTCTCCCTCTGCCCCTCCCCTCTGTTCGTTCTCTCTCTCTTCCTCTCAGATGAATACATAAAATCTTAAAAAAAAAAAAAAGGAGGAATGTTATGTGGGATCTCCTTGGGAAGGGTGTACAGCATTCAAAGTCTGCTTCTTGCACATGGAAAGTTATGTTAAGTCTTGAATGGACAAGTAATTTTTTTGTCTGGGCTCATAGTTTCTTTGGTAATACAGTTTTGTCTAAAATAAACTGATTTGTGATTTTTTTCCCCCAATCAGTTGCATGTGCCAGTAACTACACCCAAAGCATTTTTTGAAACCTAAGTTTTAAACTTCTCTCAACTGAATGGTAACCCTGAAGCTCTCTGACCACACCCTCAAATTTGATCTTTTCCATGACTGAGTTTTACTGAGCTTTTGTCTCTCAAAGTCTTTACAAACCCCATTTTTACTGCTTGGGATCTAAAAGCAGTCAGCCTTTTTACCTCTGCAAAGACCCAAATGTCTAGACTCTCTCTACTCTCATTTATAAATTTTTGAAAACTGGTGACTTATTTCCTATCTCATCTATTTATTGTGATACTTTGCCATATGCTACCAATAGTTTTGTTTTTTATATTGTGGTATAATTGATATACAATATTAGTTTCAGGTGTATAACACAGTGATTCAACATTTATATACATTGTGAAATGATCATCATAAGTGTAGTTATTATCTGTCACCATATAAAGCTAATACAATATTATTGACAATATTCCCCATGCTGTACATTACATGCCCATGACTTATTTATTTTGTAACTGGAAGCTTGTACTTCTTGATCATCTTCACCCGTTCTGCGTACCTCCACCCCCCAACCCCCCACCCTCTGGCAACCACAAATCTGTTCTCTGTATTTATGAGTCTGGGTGTTGTTTGTTTTGGTTTGGTTTTAGATTCCACATATAAGTGAAATCATGTGATATTTGTCTTTTTCTGTCAGACTTTTTTCACTTGGCATGATATCCTCAAAGTTCATCCATGTTGTCACAGATGGCAAGATTTCATTCTTTTTTATGGCTGAGTAATATTTCATTGCGTGCATGTACATCATTTTTATTCATTCATCCATTGATGGATACTTAGGTTGCTTCCATATCTCAGCTATTATAAATAATGTTGCAATGAATACAGGGGTGCGTATATCTTTTTGAATCAGTGTTTTCATTTCTATCTTTGGATAGATACCCAGAAGTGGAATTGTTAGATCATATGATAGATCGATTTTTAATTTTTTGAAGAATCTTCATATTGTTTTCCACAGTGGCTGCACCAATTTACCTTCCCACCAACAATGCTTGAGGGTTCCCTTTTCTCCACAACCCCTATCAACAGTTATTTCTTTTTTATAATAGCCATTCTGGCAGATGTGAGGTGATATCTCATTGTGGTTTTGATTTGTATTTCCCCAATAGTGATGTTGAACATCTTTTCATACGTCTGTTTACCGTCAGTGTGCCTTTTTTGGAGAAATGTCTATTCAGGTCCTCTGCCTATTTTTAAATCAGATTTGTTAATTTTTGTTTTTTTATTGAGTTGTATGAGTTCTTCATATATTTTGGGTATTAACCCCTTATTGGTATACAATTTGTGGATATCTTTTCCCATTCAGTACCAACTAATAGTTTCCATCACTGACTAGTTGATTCTTCCAATCACTTTCCTTAGAGCTGTTGACTTAGTGGCACAAGATAAATTATAAGTTATCATAGCAACATTTTATTGTTTTGCCACGGCATATTATTATAACCATCTTTCTAGCTTCTAATATTAGTTTCCTTGCTGCTTGCTACTGAACTCCTGAGTAAATGACACATATTTTAGGTTTTAATTATAGCAATACCCTATTTTAAGTTACCAACTTCCATTGTAGTCAGGATCATTAATCCTGACTGATGTAACAAATAACCCCACATCTACTTATTGTAACATTTTATTTCTTGATTACATCACAGTCTTATGTCAGTTAGTCAGCTTTCCTCCAAGTGATGGTGCAGGGATCCAGGCTCCTTCCATCTTGGGATGATACCACTGCAATATATGAGCTCTGTGGTTTCAGGGAAGGTGAAGAGAATGAGAGAAGTCACATTGGATTCTTAATCTCCAGAGCCAGAACTGACACCCATGATTGTTGCTTAAATTCTATTTGCCAGCAGTGATCATATGGCTATCCTAAATGCAACATAGAATGGAAAATGTAGCGGAATATATGGACACTCACACTTTTTGCCGGACCTTATTATTTGACCTCTCCTTCCCTATCCTATTAGAATATAAGCTTTACAAAGGCAGGGATTTTTGTCTATTCCCCTCACTTTTGTATCCTCAACATTTAGAAGAATGCCTGGCTCACATTAAGTGGTTATTAAATATTTACATAAGGAATATATGTAAGGGACAATCCAGAGTTTTTCACCATTGGTAATGGGTAAGAAATTAGAAGAAAATGTGAAAGGATTTCAAGTGACCAAAATAGATGCCACAAAATGTATGCACTAAAGCTCATGTACATTATTCACTGACCCTCCTCCCTCCCACAATCCATTCTAGACAAAGTTCTAATAAGAATATATATCTAGTCTACAGATTCCATGACAGGCTGTAAACAGGAACTTAGAATGAGATAAGATTGTCAATAAAAGAAAAGGTGATAAGTAGGAAAAATATGGGGTTCTAAGAAGAAAGTTATTTTTTAAGTACCACCACTACAAGAAAAACTGTAATAGTCTAAGGCTATTGGTATAGAGGCAAAAACATGTTATACCTACCTAGCACCTAAGGGCATCACTGAATGACAGCATAGTAAATAAATCATAGCCACTATGAAAATAATGAATCAATTAGGTCTGGTATACTTTCTTTAAAATTATAGAAAAGTTGTAACATATTTGTTATATTTTGGCATTCAAATGGGCATCCTTTAGTTATTCCCCAAACTCCCTAGCTGTAATTAGCTATTCATTTCCTTATAATGGTTGATTGATGAAATATGACAGAAATGAACATCTTAAAGCATTATTGTACTTAGTCATTTCTGTTGGAATCTTCCACTCCATGAATGCTGCTATACTGATGAGGCCTCATTTAGAGTATCAGGTTCAATAGGGGATAGGTCCATGTTTTTTGGAGTCTGAAGATTATACAGTTCGGAGCCTTTTTAAGAAAACAATGTATAAGTACAAGACAATATTTAGAATTAAAAAATCACAACAGATTATAAGTTAAAATCCATTCACAAGTATCAGACATCATCAAATATAAAAAATACCATGATTTGAAAATAATTGCCTAATATATTTTATAATACTTTTTCCTACACTTTGCATACTCTCTGTTTTCTTCTTCTTGTAAAAAGGATTCTGGGGCGCCTGGGTGGCTCAGTTGGTTAAGCGACTGCCTTCGGCTCAGGTCATGATCCTGGAGTCCCGGGATCGAGTCCCGCATCGGGCTCCCTGCTCGGCAGGGAATCTGCTTCTCCCTCTGACCCTCCTCCCTCTCATGCTGTCTCTCATTCTCTCTGTCTCAAATAAATAAATAAAATTTAAAAAAAAAAAAAAAAAAAAAAAAAAAAGGATTCTGTCACATTTTGTCCTACGGCATTAATAGATATCTCAGTCCTTCCATTAGCATAGTTGACTGAAATGTGTTTTTATTATTGATAGTTTAGAAGAGTTTCTTTCCAGTCATTACTGGAAAAGCCATAAATATGTTTAAGATTATTGTTGAATATAGAAAAATTTCTTTCCCATATAATAAGATGTGGGGGGATTTTCCATATTCTTTTTAATGTCAATTTTTTTTAGGTTTTTTTAAAAATTTATTTTATTTGAGAGAAAGAGAGAGTGAGTGAGAGAGAGAAAGCACAAGCAGGGGGAGTGGCAGGCAGAGGGAGTGGGAGAAGCAGGCCTCCCCGCTGAGCAGGGAGCCCAATGTGGGGGCTCAATCCCAGGACCCCGGGATCATGACCTATGCCGAAGGCAGACACTTAACCAACTGAGTCACCCAGGCGCCCCTCCATATTCTCGTTCTGGATCCATGTATTTCAAATATTGTCTACCCCATTACCTGTATACTTCTGTGCTGGATCCTGAGAGACACATTCATTTGCTGATAAGGTGTCTGGCCCTCCACCTTATTGTCACAACACCCGGTGATCCAGATGATAGCAGGCCTTCAAGCAGCTGGAATAAATGTCACTTTAACTATGGGCTGTAATGCTCACAGACCCCACATATTTATTCCACTTAACAAACTCAACTTCCCCTTAGCCAGATCCCCAAAATGCCCACAACCACTCTGATGTTTCAGAAAGGAAGTTAGATGAAAAGACACAGCAGTCTCTTGAGATTAAAATATTTTACTTCCAAAGCCTTACAGAAATATAAAGCCAAGTGAACATACTTCTTGGACTCCTCCTGTGGTGTTAGAAGGAGCTTGAAGTTTAAGTTTCTTGGAATCTGCCTTTGGGTTCAGCTTTGGACATTACACTTCAGGGGGAGTGTCCACAAACTTGAGCATGTTCTTAGTAAGGAGGTAACCTAGTATGGTGAAGAGTCAGGACAGTGTCAGATAATAAGCATCTAAGGGCCATATGAAGATCTTGGAAGACACAATTCAAGTGGTCCACAAGTCTGTCTTCTGTACTTGGAGTCCTGTGAGGGGAAAAAGTATGATGACTCAATATTAGGAATCATCTTCTAGTGTTAGGTCAGTTTCAACATAGAATTGACCAGCGTGTGAAATATGAGTTTTCTTTATGCGAATTTTTCAAGGCAAGGCTAGGTGAGAACCTGCCCTGGATCCTGTGAAGCGGAGACCCAAATTAGGTAATGGTGGTGATGGGTGATGGGAAGTACAGCGTGAAAGAACCTAACCTTTACACACTTTTGGAAATCTGAGATTCTAGGATGACTTTGCTATTAATCTTATTTGATGCCTTAGCCTCAGGTTTTATGCTTGACATATAGAAAATTTTAAAGATAGATGGGGCTGCTTTTTAGGTAAGAGAAAAAAAAAGTTTTTTTTTTTTTTAATTTTATTTATTTATTTGAGAGAGAGAGAGAGAGAGCACATGAGAGGGGGGAGGGTCAGAGGGAGAGCAGACTCCCTGCTGAACAGGGAGCCCGATGCCAGACTTGATCCTGGGACTTGAGGATCATGACCTGAGCCGAAGGCAGTCGCTTAAGCAACTGAGCCACCCAGGCACCCAGTTTGTTTTTTTTTTAACGTAAGGGCAGCAATAATGATCTATTTTAGTGCTATTTATTTTTATGCTTTTTTGTTTAAGGCAAGATTATAACATAGTGTTTAATCCATACAGGAAGTTAAGGGTTTGCAGGTGTAGGGTTGCTGGGTCTAGAGCAAGTTGTAGAAAGAGAATATCATGTGGGATCTCTTGGGATCCTGATTCTTCCAGTAGGAACAAAAATAGGACTTTTTTTTTTGCCATGTGCTGGGGGGTTCATCAATTCTGTGGAATAGCTTGCCAATGGATCGATATCTGGGAATAATGAGTCAGGGCTTTTTTTATGACAGGTGACAGAACACAAGTGAAACTGATCTAAGGAAATTAAGAGTAAGGGGATTTATTGGCATCAGGGGTACAGACAAATTTGCCTCCTGAGGCTCAAAAGACATCATCCTCTCTCCCTCAGCTTTCCTTCCCTTGAAGTTGGCTTTCTTCAAGTGGTGGTACTTGTTATTAGTGGCTTATTAGTTATCCTAGTTAAAAGAGCTGCTTTTTTCTGAACTGATTCAGCAAAAGCCCCAGATGGCGTTCCGGGACCAACATACCCAACCCAGAACCAATTACTATGGTCTGGATATGTTGACTGGTCAGTTCTGGGGAGTGAGGATGGGAGGTGTCATGATCCTGAACCATAAAGACTCCTGGGCAAGGGGGAGGGGTAGTTCCCAAAGGAAAATATAATTCCTGTTAATAGAGAAGGGGGAGAGATAGATAATACTGAAAGCACATAAAATTCCAAAATAATGGATATCCATTATTTGGGGGAGGGGGCAATGTTTGGGAGTTACCTCCACAGGGCTATAGTTGTTAAACCGTAAAATCAAGTACATCTTTTTCCCCACATCTGGATAGATACCATGCATAGTGGGCAATAGCCTTACATTTCTGCTTTTTCAGTCTTTCCCCTAAGTGGGACTGAGTCAATGAAGATGCTACAGAAGAAGTAAATAGAAAGCTTAAAGTATTAATACAGTAATTTTTAATTTAGTGCCCTCTTTAGGCAAAGTAGCTCGGAGCGCTTCCAATAATCCATTTTTAATTGTGACCACACCCCGTATAGGTGACGAGTATTACCGTCTTGCCCTTGCAGCTGGGGAAACCGAGGCATGACCCTCCTCCATTCAGTTTTTCGGTAGGATTTAGGAAGAGTCCTGCTTGCATGACCTCAGAGGGTCTCCTCCTTCCTCCACGGCGCCGCTCAGAACCCTCATGTCCTTCGGCGTCGCAGGAGAGCAGCTCGGGATCCTCCGCAGCCTCGGGATTCGTCCTCCGCCCAGCAGCACCCGCCCCGCTCTCCCGCACCTTCCTCAAGAGGTCCAGCTGGCCAAGGTCTGGCTGTCCCTCCCGTCCTTCCCCCGGCCCCCCGCCTCCCTTCCCCAGTCCCCGACGTGCAGGAAACCCCCAGCCAAGTGCCCCGCAGGGAGGTGCGGGCAGATGCCGCTCAGGCGTCTAGAGGGAGGGGCGCCGGCGCCGCCAGAGGTGAGCTGGCCGGCCCTGCGCCCTCCCAGGGCCGGGGCGCGGGGGCTGGTTGGGGCGGGCGCCCGGGCCAGCCGGGCAGGAGGAAGGTGGCGGCGGGAGGGAGGCCGGCGACGCGGCGGGGAGCGGCGAAAGGGGAGACGCCGGCGGGCCGGCGCGCTGCTCGCGGGCGACACCAGCAGAGCGAGCGCCAGGGAGCCGAACGCCGCGGAGTCACTCGGGGACGCGCCGCGCCCCGCCGGGGCCGCCGAGCTCGGCCGTAAACCTCCTCGCGGCGCCCGGACCCCCGGCGCCCTCTCGAGCGCGGGCTGGAGACACGGCTTCGCGCGTCCCCGCCGCGGCTGGTGCTGACTCGACACAATCGGCGGGTCGCGCGGGGGGCGCGGCGTAACCCGGGGGTGGGCGGCTGCGCGGAGCCGCCGGAGGAGCTCCGAGTGTCGCTGGGAACGAAGGAAGATGCCAGCACAAAGGCACGCGGAGACCCAGCCCGCTGCGGAGGGCGGCGGGAAGAGCCGCTAAGGGGCGCGCCGAGCGCGCTCTGCCCCTGCGCCGCGTCTCTCCCGTCGCCGCCTCAGGTCGCGGGGCCGGGGGCGGCAGCGCAGGGTCCCTTGCCGCCCTCGGCAGCGGCCGCCGCAGCCGGGAGCTGCCTGCGACGCGCGGCGGCGCCCCCGGCCGCCTGCTTTCCCCGCGGCGCGCGCGGACCGGCCGGAGGGCGCCGGGGCCCCGGGTCGGGTCGACTGCGGGGGCGCCCTTCCGCCCCGCGGCCCCGTTCCCCCCCGCAGCTCGCGACGGCGGCGGCGCCGAGCCCCAGGTGAGTGCGTGGCCAGGGCCCGGCCCTCGCGCCGCAGGTACCGGACGGCGGGAGGTGGCTTTGTTTTCCTTGCTCGCGCTCCGGCGCGGTCATTCATTTGACATTTCGGCTTCCCCTGCCCTGAAATGCGGGTGAGAGGCACCGGGACGTGTTTCGCGGTTTGATTACCCCAGGGAGCTGAGACTTTTGGGTCCATTTGAGCGTCACTTTAGGGAGAGGGGGCTTCATTTCTCTTTGGCTAGGAATGTATAGTGAACATCCTCTGCTGGGGCTTGGGGCCTGGAGGAGACTGGGGCTGCAGATTTAGACGTAGACGTTTCCGAGGACGTGCGACTGCAGAGGTTGGCTCTTGCATGCCTGTCTTTTCCTCCCTTTGCAGTGCTCAAGTGTTTTTCCTTGATAATTATCAACTTTAGGAACATCTTTACAGGCACGTTTCTTTCTTTTAGAGTTGGAAGTCTTTGGAGACAAGACAGAGAGCTCACAGAGTTACAAGGGATCGATATTAAAGTTCCAGAAGGCAAGCATCGGCGATCATCATAGTTAGAGGTGGACGGTAGGCAAACTTCCTGGGAGGCTATACGCCTTCCTGGTCTGTTTCTGCTGTCGCTGCCCCAGAGTCAAGCAAACTCTGAATTCTCGTGTATGCTCACCTTTGTGAAAGTGTGAAACTTGTCTTTTCTTGAACACTTTTCTGTACTTTGGCTTTTAGAAGAAAAAGATTTTAATGTGATTAGTAGCGTCCTCTGTTAGACCTGGTGAAATTTCATGTATGCGTTTGTCTTACAAGTATGATTTTCGTTTTATTATTTCTTCTGTTCCCTCAAGGGTTCATTTCTTCGTTGCCTAGAGAGAGCTTCCCCCACCCCCCTCCTCCCAACAGATGGCTCTGTATGTTCTGAGAGGTTATCTTTAAAATGACACTCACAGTCCCTATAAACAGAGAAGGATCAGTTATTAGGCTTATCGTTGGCATTATTAAAGCAAGAGGCCTAATCTGGATGGGGATATTATTAATGGTGTGAAAATCTGGAGTTTGCTAATCTGTTTGGTCATCAGAAGATTCCTGCAGGGATTGTTTATATAGTGTGGGAGACAGATGGCATCCCTAGCAGACAAGAGAAGCCAGGCATAAAGGGTCATTGTATCTTTCAGAAACTATCCACTTCACTGTTTGGAAGAGGGGTAGGGTGGGGTGGGGGGTGGGGAAGACATCATTTTGATCTCCCAAAGGAGACATAACCTTATCATCCGATCTCCTAAACCAGTTAATTTCTTCTTTCTTTGAACATTTAAAAAGTCATCATTAAGCTATTTGTTTTGATTATTTGTTTGGCACATTTTGGTCTTATTTGTAATCATGTGAAGCAGTTTAAACAGTTTTCTTAGCAAAAATGTCTTCGAATTTAAGATTATTCTACCACTTATGGGGAGAAAAGAGTCATAACTTTCTTAGGTCTTGTTCATTTCAACAAATGACCCCTTGGACTCATAGTGTCTCCTAGCTGGAAGGACTTTGGTCCAATCTGCATGAATTCTTCCACCATCTCTAAGACAGGTGATTCCCTAACTTCTAGCACTTGCCCTCAGACCCTCAGCTATGGATAGAATCAGCTTCTGTAATTACTTAGCCTAAGACATTGGCTTTACCATTGCCTCTGTCACAACATTGAGCAGCCTTTGGCAGTGAATCTTTATGAATGACTGTGGAGTCCGTGAAGAATCAAAGTCATTCTGAACATTTGAGATAAGCCAGCTGGAGCTTTTCTGCTGCAACCACCATTATAGGTTCTTTGTGTGCTGTAGATTGCAAAACTGGTCTTCCCTCAGTGATTGTGAGGGAAGATATCCCAGTAAATTAATATTCACCAGCCACAGGACGAGATTTGATGAAGAACATGAGTGATGTTTGACCCCTCTGAATAAGAAGTATGGAATAAAAGTAAGCATTAGCTCTGTTTAACTTGAGCAATGTGATCTTGAGAGAAAAACATGGTTTCTTATTCTTTTCAAAGCCCTTCTCACACCTGATCTCAGCAAAAGACAAAGAAACTAAAGTTGTTACCTGTAATTGAGGATAGATGGTATAACCTTTTGGGTGAATGCATTTTGCAGGAGAGGTGGCTTTTGGGCTGTGTCCAGTTTCAGTGGGTGCCCTAGCATCGAAAGATCTAACATTCAAAATACTTGTTAAATCTGTGGTTGGATCTGTGTACCCTCTCCCCAGGTTGCTGTCTCTCTTGTGAAGTGTTGCTTTAAGAGAAACCCGAGGCTCCAGGTCTGGGGCTTGCTATGGGCCTGGCCTGGATCCACATTCTCGTGTGTGGCTTGTTTTCTTGGGTAAAAATGGAACCAGTTTTGCATGGTGTGTTGGATAGGGAATGGCAGCATGGCGTGAAAACATTTCTAGTTTCATTGTCCGAAGTCAGGCCTGGCCTGAAAGAGAGAGGGCTATATTTGAAGTTCGGTGGATCCAACACAGGCAGAGGTTACTTCTTTACACACAGGATGTCTTTTGTATGGGAATATGAATCAGGAATTAGGAGAGTGACCAGAACTCCTAGTTTGTCTACAATGGTCCCAGCTTATTCCTACTGACCTATGTTAGTTATCAAAAGCATCCCTTTTCACGTTTAGAAGTGCCGTGGTTTGGCTGATAAATTATACAGTCATCCTAGATGTTAAGGAACCTTGACTTTTCTTTACTACGCCCTCCTGTCCTCAGATTTTGAGTCTTGCTTTATTTAGTCTTTTATTTGTTATATGTAAAGATAAGAAAGGTTAAAAAAAATTAAACCAGAAAATACATACAGAAAAAAGAAATAGGAAGATAGAAGATCGAAGAATGAGGTCATTGCTTGCCATTTGTTTACACATATAGGAAATGAATATTTTTATCCTTAAGTTGTTAAGTGTGTACTATGGCTCTAAGCTTATGTTATTATTGTCTTCAAGAATGAGAAGAGTTACACTTGCCCATTTACTGCGGGCTGACAGGAATTGGAATAACTCCTGGGACTTGGGAGAAGAGCTTTGACAAAACCTGTTTGCAGACCTGGCAGATGCATGGCTCTTGCAAAAGTGAATGCAAATTTCAAGATTTAGTGTTTGGTCCAGTTTTGGGATATTTACTGAGAGTTCAGAACACAAGTGTTGTTGTGAAGACGTGACTCAACATTCTTCTAGTTTCCAAGCTCTCTGGGCCACAGGATAATAGAAGAACCTTTGTTTTCGATCTTCTCTTCTGACTCCAGTCTTGGGTTTGGGTCTCAGCTTTTCATATGGAGGGCTTACAGAGAAGAACTTGGTGTGCCTGTTCACCGTGCGAAAATTCTCATAGGGGTTTGAGATTGTGCAGGCGACCTGGTAGGGGTTTGGGTTCCAAAGCTAGATATTTGGAGCTTGTGGCATCTACTTCTGCAGCAGTTGCTGTATGATTTTGCTGAAGAATTGCCTGTTTGAAATAGTTCACTTGCAGTGCTTGCCAATAGGTGTTATAGTTAATTATGGTTGTCACCTTTTCCATACCCATTCCACTAAGAGCCTCAAAACTGAGGTCAGCATGCCTGAATAGGAAGGAATTTCTGTATCTCCTTTATAAGTAGGGTGACATGTAATTCTTCTGTCCAGACAAGGACACATTTGAGAGTAAGAGGGAATAATAACCGGAAGGGGCACTGGATCAACAGGTATAAGCTGGGACTGTCCCAGGAAAACAATGATGTATGGTCATCTTAAGTAGGACCCGAGTCATTAGCTTTTATATGAAGAATACCCATATGATGGAAAAAATGTCTTTAGCTTCTTCTAAATTTGCTCAGCATATTTGTTTATGTGTGTGCATGCGTATATGTGTATGTGTATACGTTTACATGAACACTGATCATATATCTATAGATATGTGTCCTGTGGGATTGAAATAAACCACTAAAGAATGCTTAGTTATTTGGAAAATTGTGGCCCTCATAACCTCTTTCATGGACTGACTTTAAAACTAAACTCTCTGCATCCAGCCTCTCTAAACTTTAAGTCATTTCCTGACCCTGTGTAATTCGAATACTAACTAATCTGTTAGTATAATTCTTGTTTAAAAACCTGTGATGGTGCTCGTTTTCTGTTTAGTTCTCAAAGATCTGCAGACAGTTTGGTGGTTAGAAAGGAAAAGCAATGAAAAAATTTCATTCATTCATTCATTCAGCTACTATTGGGCACCTTTCACAAGTCAGTATCTGATCTAGATGCTGAGTGTGTACCAATGCATAAAACAAAAGATCCCTACCCTTGTGAAGTTTTCATTATTTTGGGGTGGAGGGGTGGATGGGGGACAGATAAGAGAGTAAAAAAAATGAGTAAGTAAGTTATATAGCATGCTAAGAGGAAGTACATACTTTGGAACAAAGGGACGGTAGAACAGGATCAAGGTAGTTGAGTAGCCTTCATGGAGAAAAAGACCTTAACCTTAAGCCAAGACTTTGAAGGAGGTGAGAGAAGTTACCCATGCACATACCTGAGGGGGAATGTTCTGGGCGCAGGGAAGAGCCCGTGTGAAAGCCTGAAGTATGTGATCAAGATATAGCAAGAAGACCAGCACGGATGGGGTGGGGCGGCTGGGGGGAGCTGGAAATGAAATCAGAAAAGTGGTATAGGAGTGGCAGAGCATGTAGGACCTTAAGATACAAGAGTGATTACAATTTCAGGTGAAATCCCATTATGTTCTTAAAACTCATTATAATATTTAAAAAGTTGTCTTTGTGCTCTGAAGCCTGCCCAGGTCAATATAGCGTACATCTCATAAATAGTGCACTTCATCTTGGTTAATAAACTTTTTGTGTCATTTGCTTCTTGTTTGTCAAAATAGCATATATTTGGTTGTCGCTACTCTTAAATTGTATCCCCATTTTGCAAAAACAGATCAGTGGTTCAAAAGTGGTTCTGCGAAGTGTGAAAATGTCCTAAATATACTTAGAGAACTCAATCCCACTGCGAATATAAAATGTGAAATCTGTATGTATAAAAACAAGGGAATCCGTGAGAGTGAGGAGTTCAAAACAGTAACTGGAACTGAAAAGTGCAAATGGAAGTATGATGATGACTTGCTTAAAACTGTTTTTTTTCTTGGGTTTGCCATCCATTCGCTCCTCATTCCCTGTCGTTGCCTGTTATGAAACTGTCCAATAGTGGCATGAAGCCATGGATGTTTTGGTGTCATTTTCAAACAAAGCACAGTGGCTTCTCTGTTATACATTGAAGTTTTCCAGGGCAAGCACACAATAATGCTTTCCATTACAAAATTAACATATTATATTGCTAGAGGTAGGTAAGAGACGAGAACACTCTAGTGGCATCATTAAAGGACTCATGTAGCAAAAGTAAGAATGAGTCATATTATTGAATAGACACTCACAAAATCGGCCGGATGGCTAAAGACAAACATTGTCCTCAAAGAGAAACCAGAAGTTATTGACAGGATTCCTTTGTCAAGTGACACGGTTGGCTGTTTGTTGCCTAATAGAAGTGGAGTAGCGTGTGGAAGAGTGATTACTATCAAGTACGTAC